TCAAAGCTCCTCTAAAACCATTTCAGTTTGCTGAGCTAGCTCTAAGCCTCGTTTGGTAGTGATCTAGGGTGGCCTTTGATCGAGTTTTTGGAGCATTTTTTTCTGTCCTTCTTGGAAAGTCACCTCTGTAACTCAGAGGTTCCTAGTGAGTTTTAATTCATCTGACACTGCCAGAGTAGACCATAGCGAGTGATTTAGTAGCTTATTGCGTAAGCCTAGAGATAATAATCCAGTCCATATTCCCAAATTAAAAAAATCACCACTGTGAAAGAAAGCAAGTTGTTTTGCCGTCTCACCAAGGCCTGCAAGTGGGGAAAAGTGCATTGTTTGCTCTACCAAAGACACCTGTGAACTCTTAGCAAAACAGCTCAAAGCTGTTCTGCCGGTGTTTCCCAAGTGTGAAATAAGATACTTTATTTTGCTCATCTTCTGTCTTGTTATTAAATAATAAATCCCTTGGGGCCAGAACTGTCTGTTGCTACAGGTATGGACAGAACTTAACACCCAAGTGCTAATTTTGGTTTGGGCTTCTGGTGGCTACTACAATTAAAACAACATTAAAATGTGTGAGGTTTTTTATGGTCACTAGAGAATAAGCAGTTTGATGATTAGATTAAGTGAAATTATTATTTCCCCAAAATGGACTTGAAGCTGGGAGGATACAACAAGGTAACTAGAAAATTCATACTGACTTAGCTACTATAACAACAACAAAAAAGTCACCTTTAGATTATTAGTAAAGGAATAGAAAACCCCAGCGTGTCACTGTATGTATAAAGTCATTGTTCAGTATCTTGGATTCTGTGCAAAGATCCCCTCATCTCAAAAAAATCCATAAAAGTGAAAACGTATCAGAGAAGGGCAATACAGATGATCCCGAAGACATGGAACAGCTTTCTTATAAATAATAATAGGGTTGGTTGTGACCTCAGTCTTGAAAAGAAATGACTGAGAGGAGAAAAGATGTAGGTCTAAAGTCACACACAGGATGACAAGGATGGATACCAATCAACTTGGCTCCTCCAGTACAAGAAGCAGAGCACATTAGGCAAAGCTAATGGGAGCCATATTCAAAAGAAACAGATTCTTGATGTGCTGGGCAGCAGCCCTGTGGAAGGCCAGCTTCCAATTCATTGCCAAGGAAGCTGCTGATGCTAAGACAGGTCCAATGAGTGGATAAGTACACAGAGGAAAAAAAAAAAAAAAGTATTACTACATACCAAAGTCACATCCAACTCAGGAAGTTCTCTGACGTGGAAGCAGTAAGACATTGAAAGCGTATTGGCCTATAACATACCCCTCCCTTTTTCACTCTTCCTTAGGCATTCGTTTGAGACGGGATTCAGGACAACACAGACCCTTTGGCATAGCCTAATACGGTTCTGTAGTTATAAAGCATGGTACGTGCTGTAGTTATCCCTGCAATACCGCCAGGTGTTGAGTTGCTATCTCAAAACTCTTAACTTGCTAAATTTACCCCTGATGTCCTTCCACTTAATGGGCATGAAGTATGGGTCTCTCTGGAGTGTGTGCCTGAAAAACGGTGCTCATCGAGGATTTCTCAGGTGTCTGTAATTGTGTGTTGTAGTTCTGCCCTCAACATTGTGGTCAGGGCAGTGCCTTGATTGACAACTTTTTGACGATTCAGTAAATGTCACTGACGAAGTCACTTTTAGCTGCTTGACAACAAAGAACTTAGGTGGGATTGAAAGTTCCTCGCGTAACGGCAGTCTTTGCGTGATTCTGTCATACTGTATTACATGGTTGCATTACTCTAACCTTCATTAGAATAACTTAATTTATAATACAAGGAACATGAAGATTACAGGTACATAACTACAAGGATCACCCTTGGTTTTCTCTTTCTTTGGAGAATCACTTTAGGAGCTATTTTCCCACATTCAAGAGCTGTAATTTTTAACAAGGGTAGCCTGCAATACTACAGATAAATGCGATTTAGTTTTGGTGACTTACTACCTTAAAATAATCTGTATAAAACCATGCATCCTTTTTAGAAACATCTTAATAGAAATCCTATTTCCATCTGGAAGGCTGAAAGAGCAGAGCAAGCAGACAGAATGTCATGTCTGTGCAGAGTTCATTCTGCAGACTCAGTGGTCCAGTTGTGTCCCGTCAACTGCAAGGTTTATCATAAATGAAAAGCATCAGGCATCCTGGGTGTCCTGTCCTTTGGGTGTAATGGAACAGAACACTGTACGTGTAGCATATTTGCACAAGCTTATCATGGAGAACAGAACTTTTCCTGTTTGTTTGCAATGAAAAAGGATCTGGGGGTGTTGGTTGACCGCCGGCTGGATATGAGTGGGCTGTGTGCCCAGGTGGCCAAGAGGGCAAATAGCATCCTGGCTTATATCAGGAATAGTGTGGCCAGCAGGAGCAGGGAAGTGATTGTGCCCCTGTACTCAGCACTGGTGAGGCCACACCTGGAACACTGTGTTCAGTTTTGGGCCCCTCACTAAAAGACAGACTTTGAGGGGCTGGAGTGTGTCCAGACAAGGGCAACGAAGCCAGTGAGGGGTCTGGAGCACAAGGCTTGTGAGGAGCGACTGATGGAACTGGGCTTCTTTAGCCTGGAGGAGAGGAGGCTGAGGGGTGACCGTATCACTCCCTACAACTGCCTGAAAGGAGGCTGTAGCGAGGTGGGTGTTGGTCTCTTCTCCCAAGTAACAAGCAATAGGACAAGAGGAAATGGCCTGAAGTTGTGCCAGGGGAGGTTTAGATTGGACATTAGGAAAAATTTTCTTCACCGAAAAGGTTGTCAAGGATTGGAACAGGCTGCCCAGGGAAGAGGCTGAGTCGCCATCCCTGGAGATATTTGAGAGACAGGTAGATGTGGTGCTTAGGGACATGGTTTAGTGGTGGACTTCGCAGTGCTAGGTTAACGGTTGGACTTAATGATCTTAAAGGTCTTTTCCAATGCAAAAAATTCTGTGATTCTGTGGAAAAAATTGGTTTCTGATACCAGTAGGCTTGCATCAGTGACATGACTGCTGGTTGAAGAAGTGCTGATACAGTAATGGTAGGTTGTGGTTCACCTAGCAGTGTGCAACTGCACCATTAATTATTTGGATGAAATAAAATGCATGCAGATTATAAAATACCCCAACAGGACTGGTTTTTTAGAGACAACATATACTGGTTTATAAGAGGAGTTGTCTTGCTGCTGGTGTGCTGATGGAAGAGCTTGCTTTGACCTCACAGACCAGAATCAAACCAAAGACATGTTGTAGCATCAAGAATTTGAAAAACTTTTGAAAGTTCTTATATACAGAATCAGGATGGCAACTGGAGAGGATTTGAAAATAACACCTGAATATGACTAAAGTATATACTACATATTTTGATCTAAGTTACTAAGTTGGAAAAACTAAAATGATGTTGTTATTTTCACGTAAAACTTGAACAAAATTTCACTTTATAAACCATTTAACCTGGACTACTACTACTCACTTTTGTAATCCCTCAGGCAGGTTTCCTGGCAAAGTCAAGGTCAGGCTATGAAACGATGTCGTGGGCACCCCCGGGGGTCTGTGATGCCAGGGTGACACCACAGGTATGTGCTCAGGCGCACCTATCTGTTTCGTCATGTGTCATGACGTAATTCCCTGGGTGCTGTCAGTGAGTAACACTGCACGGGCAGCCCGTGACTCCCACTTCTCCGCTGCACCCAATTACCTCCATGCGCGTGATGGCGGCAGCCCGGCCTTTCCCGCTGAGCTGCTCCCCTTGGGGCCTGCGGGACAAGCCCAAAGGCCTGGTGTGGAATGACAAAATTTTAGAAGCCTCCCGTCACTGTTGATCCCTAGGGTAAGGGCCTGTGAGGAAACGTGAAAAAAAAAAAAGCCCAAACCAAAGCCCAACCAACCAAAACCCCAACAGCCCCTAAA